AAAAAAAAAAAAAAATTAGCCAAGTGTGGTATCATACATCTATAGTTCCAGCTACTCAAGAGGCTGAGGTCGGAGGACCAGCCTGACCAACAGAGCAAAGCACCCTGACTGGAAAATAAAAGAAAAAAGGCCCAAGAGAGCCCCCTCATCCCTTTCACCATGTGAGGATATAGTGACAAGATGGGCAATTATGAACAAGGAAATGAGCCACCAAATTTGCCAGCACCTTGATCTTAGACATCGCAGCCTCCATAACTGTGAGAAATAAATGTCTGTTGCTTACAAGCCACCCAGTCTATGGTATTTTATTATAGCAGCCTAACAGACTAAGACACATGGATTCTGGATTTTAGGATATAGACATTTCTGGGAGCCGTTTTTCTGCTTATCATATATACCCTTTGTTAGAATAAGGAATTTGTATTCATAATTTGCTGAGTGTTTCTGTCATGACACATATTGTTTACTACATACCAACCACTCTGTTTTACACGTCATTTAACCTGCATCTATAAGATAATTACCATCCCCCACTTTACAGAGGAGTAACTTAGGCTTAAAAAATTAACTTGCCTACAGTAATATAACAAAGTGAAAAATAAGATTTGAACAGAAATACGTTAAAAACAAAGCTTAAACTTTTAGTAAGTGTTGTTAAAATATACTGCAGATTGAATGCTACTCACTTTCTGCATAAGGTCATTTACTTGTTTTTTAACAGCTTTGCTGAGATATAATTCACATACCTTACAACTCATCCACTTAAAGTGTACAATTCAGTGGCTTATAATGTATTCACAGTGTTGTGCATCCATCACTACAATCAATTTTAGAGCACAATGGCCCATGCCTGTAATCCCAACATTTTGGGAGGCCGAGGTGGGAGAATCGCTTTAGCCCAGGAGTTCAAGACCAGTCTGGGCAATGTGGCAAAACCCCATCTCTACAAAAAATACAAAAAAAATTAGGCGGGCATAATGGCACACACCTGTAAGTCCCAGCCACTTGGAAGCCTGAGGTAGATCACCTGAGCCCCTGGAAGTTGAGGCTGAGTGAGCTGGGATTGAGCCACTGCACTCCAGCCTGGATGACAGAGTAAGACCCTGTCTCAAAAAATTTTTTAGAACATTTTTTGTTAGACCCCAAAGAAAATCTGTCCTCCTTAGCTGTAGCCTTAATCTACTTTCTGTCTTTATGGACCTTCTATTCTGGACATTTTATATAAATGGAATAATAATATGTGGTCCTTTGTGACTGACTTCTTTCACTCAGCATGTTTTCAGGATTCATCCATATTTTAGCATATATCAGTACTTCATTTTTATTGCCAAATAATATGACATTGCATGGATATACCAATTTAAATTATTCACTTATCAATTGATAAACCTCTGAGTGGCTTCCACTTTTTGTCTGTTATGAAAATTGCCACTGGGAACATTAGTGTGCTTGTGTCCACACAGGTTTTTGTATGGCCATGTTTTCATTTCTCTAGGAGTGCAACTGCTCGATCATGCAGTACATCTATGTTTAACCATTTGTGCAACTGCCAGACAGTTTTCTAAAGCAGCAGCTACATTTTGTATCACAAAGAGCAGTGAGCGTATAAGGGTACCAATTTCTTTTTTATTTTTTTTGATGGAGTCTCCCACTGTCGCCCAGGCTGGAGTGCAGTGGTGCCATCCTAACTCACTGCAACCTCCGCCTCCCAGGTTCAAGCTATTCTACTGCCTCAGCCACCTGAGTAGCTGGGACTACAGGAATGGGCCACCATGCCTGGCTAATTTTTTTTTTTTTTTTTTGAGACGCAGTTTCACTCTTGGTGCCCAGGCTAGAGTGCAATGGCACAATCTCGGCTAACCGCAACCTCCGCCTCCTGGGTTCCAGCAATTCTCCTACCTCAGCCTCCCGAGTAGCTGGGACTACAGGCACGCACCACCATACCCAGCTAATTTTTGTATTTTTAGTAGAGACAGTGTTTCACCATGTTGACCAGGATAGTCTCGATCTCTGGACCTCATGATCCGCCCGCCTTGGCCTCCCAAAGTGCTAGGATTACAGGCGTGAGCCACTGTACTTGGCCAAATTTTTGTTAATTTTAATAGATATGGGGTTTCACCATATTGGCCAGGCTGGTCTTCCAACTCCTGACCTTGTGATCCCCCCTCCTTGGCCTGCCAAAGTGCTGGGATTACAGGTGTGAACCACTGCGCCTGGCCAAGGGTTCCAGTTTCTTCACATCCTTACCAACACTTACTTCTGTCTTTTAAAAATTACAGCCATCGACTTAAACATAAGACCTAACACCATAAAAACCCTAGAAGAAAATCTAGGCAAAACCATTTAGGACATAGGTGTAGGCAAGGCCTTCATGACCAAAACACCAAACGCATTGACAACAAAAGCCAAAATAGACAAATGGGACCTAATCAAACTTCACAGCTTCTGCACAGCAAAAGCAACACTCATTAGAGTGAATTGGCAACCAACAGAATGGGAAAAAATTTTTACAGTTTACCCATCTGACAAAGGGCTGATATCCAGAATTTACAAAGAACTAAAACAGATTTACAAGAAAAAAACTAACAAGCCCATTCAAAAGTGGGCAAAGGATAT